ATCGTAATAAATGATGAGATGCTTTGCTTCTGTTAGAATTATTCTTTGTGAAGGACCTTTTATTTTATTTTATTAACTCCTTCCTCGTTTGAGCTTATTTGAAATTTCAGTTCCTTGAACATTTTGATCACTTTGGTACACCTATTTTCAAACGTATCAGCAACTACAATCCATTTCAGAAGGCAGTTTATTCCCCCTAAATAATTCTAACAATAATATAAACTAGTAGAAGTAATTTGCAATAAAATATTTGCGGCAGACTGATGCTTCAGCTTTCAACAGCATCCCAAAGTGAACTGCTAAAATTATAGCAACCAAAGCAGAAGATTTCAAAAGCAAATCTCTATTTTTATACTGCAAAAGTAAATTCATATACAAGCAATTTTATACTCTGAAATTCAACGTTCTTTGAGCCACAAAATGTTGATGGATCTCTATTTTTTGTTGTTGCATTTATGGGTTTAAGCCCTATTATTTCTTATAAATAAAATCTATTTTCTATTCTTGCCCAATGGGCTAATAACTAGAAACAATTAGAATGTGAAGTATCAGAAAGAATTTATATTTTCATTCTCCAATATCGTGTGTGTAAATAAAATAATTGAAGAAATAAGTCTAGCACAGTGGGCTAGTGATATTTTAGCCCCAAGCACTACAATAATATGACAAAATTGTATATTTAACGAGTATAGCTGTGCGGCCATAAAAAAAATAAAAACTGTATTACCGAGCGGCTATACTCTTTACATATATTCGAATAGTTTAGCCGTAGCTCCGGTCGGCTATATTCTTCACATATATTCGACTATTTTGAAAGCATTAACGCACGGCCTTACACTTTAAAAATTAAAAAATAAAAACATATAGCCGCGCGGCTGTACTTAGAAAATTTTAAACATATATCCGCGTGGCTACACACGTCACATATATTCGACTATTTTGACCGTATAGCCGCGCGGCTATACTCTAAATAATTAAAAGGGTATAGCCGACCGGCTGTACTACGCTTATTCGAATATTGTAAGTATAGTCGCGCGGCTATACCTTCAACAATAATGTATAGCCGGACGGCTATACTCTTTACATATATTCGAATATTTTAACAGTATAGCCGCGTGGCTATACACAAAGCGTATAGCCGCACGGCTATATGTTTGACATAATATTCGAATATTTTAAAGGTAAATCTGCGAGGCTATACACTCAATAATTTTTTAAAAAAAGTTAAAAAAGAGTACAGCCGCGCGGCCATACGCTTGCCATATAATTTTTTTTAAAAGAAACCAACCGTATAGCCATGCGGCTATACGGTTTACATATATTTGACTATTTTTAAGTATAGCTGTTTGGATATACGATTCAATTGTATATTTTAAAAGTAAATTCTTATACATGCTATTTCATACTTTGAAATTTAACATTCTTTGATCCACAAAATGTTGGTGGATCCCTATTTATTGTTGTTGTATTTATGGGTTTAACGCATATTATTTCATACAAATAAAATATATTTTTTATTGATGCCCAATGGTAAAAGCTAGAAATTATTATAATGGGAGATATTGGAAAGAATTTATATTCTCATTCTTCAATATCCCTTGTATAAATAAAATAATTAAAGATATAAGTCTAGCGCAATGGGCTAAAGTGGTATTTTAGCCCTAAGCCCCAAAAAAATATGTCAAAATTTTATATTCGGATACTATACTTTTAAAAAATAAAATAAAAACAGTATAGCCAGTCAACGATACTCTTTCAGAAAAAAAAAAAAAAGTATAACCGCGCTCCTATACTTTTAAAATATTCAAATATATTTAAAGAGTATAGCCGATCGGCTATACCATTTTAAAATTAAAAAAATAACGGTTGGCTATACCCTTTTAAAATTAAAAAAATAACGGTATAGCCTCGTGTGCATAGCCCTAGGTTTCAAATTAACACAAAGGCTTATCTATGATAAATATTGCCATGTCAGAACGTATTTTTTTTGAAGTTATGATGTTTTTTTTTAAATGATCCATTCACATACTTCCATATTTTGAAGGTTTCAAATGTGTTCATGTTCTTGTACTTTTCTCGAGGCCTAGAGACACCTAGGAAGACCTCTGATAAGGCCCAATATGGGAAAGAGGAGCAAAATGACCAGCAAAGCGTATGTTGCAGCTCCGTTCTTCTCCCTGTAATGGGTTTGACTGCTTATTTCCTACTAGCCTTCCTCTCACCTTGTTCGAACAAGTTCAAGCGGTAAACTTTCCATTGCAAGCTGAAATTCAGAATGCAACGAGAATCAGATATGAAAATATCTCTCAGTTTCAGTAAAAAGCTGAAATGATGCTTACCCATAGTCTGGGAGTTGTAGGATCAGATTTTGAATGCACTTTCGCTACATCTGATTGAAAGGTTATGACTATGGCAACTTTAAATTCTATGGAAAATGGACTGCACAAAAAGTTAACAAAGGAGTGAGTTGACGTGAACAAACTACAGTTTTGAGGATTAAATGGCGCTACCGCACAAACAGAGCAGATTTAGCATATCATATGGTTGCACAATGCAGTGGTTCGTACGCAGTACAAATAGTGCTTGGGTTCTCATCAACAACTAAAAAACTTAAATTAATGAACACCCCAACTGCCAATGATCATGACATCATGTGACGTGACATTCAACAGTATAAAACGGATGTTCAAATGTCTAGCTTGAGGTGCAAAGCAAATCATCTAGTTGGGGAACTTACCCAGCTAAGACGGTAGGACAAGTCAAAAGACGGGGAAGTATAACATAAATGGGTAGAGTCATATTACGGCAGACATCTCCATCTGCTATCTGATATATCAAGAGGAAGCCCAAAAAAATGTTAGTGACAAGTTGAGTTGAATACGTTAATGAGATGAGAAAGGGTGCATGCCTGTGTAGTCTGAATCAGAGACTGTTCAGTTACTATTTTCTCCCCAAGAAGGATTGACTCCACACGAAGCAAGTGCATGTCAATCGAAGAAATCGGAACTGCAGACGCTTCTACTGTTAGTTCACCAACAATGGGATCTGATAAACAACATTGAGTGGACATTTTCCCAATAACCCGGAATCCACCTATTTCAGCAATACCAATCATAAGTTGATCATGTCATGACACATTCAACATCTTCCAAAATGAAATTAGAAGTTAAATGGAACACATAGTTTCTATATGATACTTTTTTTTTTCTTAGGCATGCGAAGGAAAGAAGCAAAACCTGACTTTAGTTCAGGAAGTAGCGGATGCCTTTGAGTATCCTGAGTAAGGTAAAAGATAACCATCTCCGGAGAAACTGGCCGCTCAAGAAGATCGGCTAAAAGACAAAATATCATCAAGCATTAACTTTAATTGAAGTATTTAAGTGAAATTACAAAGAAAAGGTAAAACCATTTAGTACCTGTAAATGTATTACATACGAAAGTACATTCAAAACCTACCTTTATCACTTTCAACTATGAACTCCATTGTTGTAGATAATGATTTATGCAGGTATCCTCTCGATATATCTACAGTTAATAAATACTATGGAACATTTTATTAATCATCAGGTTTCAGATAAATACAAAAATAAAATGCATTACAAAGGTGGGAATTTGGAATTGACACCAATGATTCTCAAGTCAGAGTGTGAACTACTGAACATTTTCACTTCTTAAAGATAAAAATATGCACCTGAATGTTAATATTTGCTCCATGGAAGGTCTCATAGAACCTTACCAGGTTCTTTTCTCCTGGCTGCTTGATATTCATGGAAAATGGAATCTGCCACAAACATGAACTATAATTTGCAAATTCACCTCCAACTAAACAAAAGGAAAAGATGCAAGTTTACTAAGATAAAAGCAGCTTTGAATGCACAACGGGATTTATATTGTGACTTGAAATATGAAAGAGGCCATGGCAGTCAAATTTACTACTGGTACCATACATTGTTGGAATATCATAGTGATTCAAGGTTTAAACATCTTTTCTTCCAAGTTTAAAACAACTGTTAAAATTGAATTACTTCGAAGATACCTCTGATGTGCCTGAAGCAATCTTTCCAGAAGGTCTAACCTCAATAATTTTATTCCTGTTTCCAAGTAAGTAAAACAAATCAGTTGTGGAAAACCTCATCCGAGGCAAAGAGGACATAAGAAAGAATAAAAATTTGAGTTCATTTGCCCCAATCCCTTCGTAATTAGAAACAAGATATTGGATTATTTTTACCACAATTGCAATAGTGTACCTCAAGGTTAATAAATGGGACTGCAATTACACAAACCTACCAAAATCAAATGCAGCATAAAAGTTACGGAGTTCAATTTCTGCCAATTACAATACTTTACAAGGCAAGAAAATTGAAAATTGAAATCCAAGAACCAGCAAACAATGTCCAAGAGCTATGAAAATCGCACTCACACAATGGAAATAGGCTTGGCAACACCAACCAAAGTCTCGATAACTCCCGCCGATCCTCCACGAACCTGTAGAAAACAATAATAGTAATCATGAACCAGAAACAGCAAAAGGACCTTGCCACCTATTCGCTTCATTCTGAAACATTCAGTAATAAAAGATACGATTTTTAAGAAGAAAAACAATATATATAAAAATTGAAGAGTTTGTTTTTAATTGATTTTATCGGGAACTAAACAGAGGGGAAAATCCGAACCTGCAAGTTGACAGATCCGTTAACAGCGAGGCGAATTCCATAGTGGGAGATTGAAGAAGAAGACCTCACTATGATTTTACCCTCAACAACTTCCTGAAATTCCATCTCATCATCATCTTCATCATATATTTCTTGTATAATTAGTAACACAGTGAGAGAGAGAGAGAGAGAGAGAGAGAGAGAGAGAAAGCAGTTACAGAAGGGCGATAGACGCGATTAATTCGTGAAAGTTTGAGCTCTATCGACATTGTTAACGACGCAGAGCAGAGCAGGTTGCAGGAGCTCAGCAAGTCAGCAAGTATGGTGGTGACTATACTCTTCTATAATCTATACACATATACACGAGCGCAATGTACGTCTGCTTACGTGGCAAAAATTGATTGGCAAAATGACTGCATTCTACGTGGCAAGTAGCAACCGAAACAAATTTTACAACTAACGCCCATCCCAATATTAACCCTCGCTCTCAACTTAACGTTGTTTCCCAAATTCCTAGTCATCTTCCTCCTCTGCCTTCTTCTTCATCTTCTCCGTTCTGTTATTTGGCAAAGCAATGAATTTTGCAACTCGGAAACTCATCTTCGCTCTCCTGATTGTCTCTCTCTACCCTCTCTCTCTCTTCGCTCGGCCGTATGTTCTCGTCCTCTCTCAAGACGACCTCTTAAACACCCCCAACTCGCCCGACGACTCACCGCCCGTCGACTCGACTCAAAATGACTCGCCCGAGTGGGATGAGTTTGGCGACTCCGGCTCCCCACAGTCCGAGGAGGAGCTCGACCCGGGCTCCTGGCGCCCCATCTTCGAGCCCGACCCCTTTAGGCCCGACCTGGCCAACAACCCGGACGAACGCTATTACTCCACCGTATCCAAATTAATCAAGTCCGTCAGCTCCGGCGCTGTACGCTACGGGCCAGATGAGGAAGCAGAACAAAGCCAAGGCCTTCACGTACCACTACTTCGCTTCCGAGGGTGGTAACATGCAGTCGAAGATGGCTCTCGCTTATACTTACTTTAGGCAAGATGTATGGAAACCCTGGCTGGCTCTTCAAATTTTAGCGATCTGTGTTTGGTTGCAGCTATAAAAAGGAGGAAATTCAAGGATTGATTTTGTTTTTGCCTTTGTCTTTTGTTTGGTTTGCAGATGTTTGATAAAGCAGTGAAGCTTTACTCGGAATTAGCCGAGGCAGCAGTGAATAGCTTCCTAATTTCGAAGGACTCGCCGGTGATCGAGCCAGTGAGGATCCACAATGGAGCTGAGGAGAACAAGGAGGCATTGAGGAAGAGCAGAGGCGAAGAAGATGAGGACTTTCAGATTTTGGAGTACCAAGCTCAGAAGGGAAACTCTGCGGCAATGTATAAGATTGGACTCTTTTACTATTTTGGGCTGAGAGGGTTGAGGCGCGACCATGCCAAGGCGTTGTCGTGGTTTTTGAAAGCGTTGGAGAAGGGAGAGCCTCGGGCGATGGAGCTGCTTGGGGAGATTTATGCTAGAGGAGCTGGGGTTGAGAGGAATTACACCAAGGCTCTGGAGTGGCTTACACTCGCAGCCAAACAGGAGCTTTATTCAGCCTATAACGGGATGGGCTATTTGTATGTTAAAGGATATGGGGTGGAGAAGAAGAACTACACCAAAGTAAGAACTACACCAAAAAAGAACTACCTGTATTTATAAGCTCTATGCGTTCTTATATTTTGAAAACTATGTTATGTTATTGATTGTTGTTACCTTTATCATTTTTTATAAACGATCACTGGGAATAAAATTCCACATTGCTAGTCGTAATAGTTTCTCAGAGCATAGTTTTCCTATGAAAGTTCCTTCCAAATTCCAATACATTGGTAGGTTGTTTCATTCATTCATATGTTACATCTAATCCTTTTCATCATCCTTTTAATCACAGGCAAAAGAGTATTTTGAGAAGGCTGCTGATAATGAAGACGCAGGGGGGCACTATAACCTAGGAGTAATGTATCTCAAAGGGATTGGGGTAAAGAGAGATGTGAAACTTGCATGTAAATACTTTATAGTGGCTGCTAATGCTGGTCAACCCAAGGCATTCTACCAGCTGGGAAAGATGTTTCATACTGGAGTTGGGCTTAAGAAAAATCTTCCCAGGGTAAACTCACAGTTATTTTCTCTTAAATTAGTTTGGTTTGTTTTTAGCTTTCCATGTCCTTTCTTTTTCCCCTAAAGAACAAAATATGCAATAGAAGAGATTTGAGGAGATTTATTTTATTTTCTTCTACTATTTGTGGAAATGAAAAAGTGATTTGTCATTTAATAAGTAAATGATCTTAAGATGCACCAACACACTTGCACTGATAATTCCAATTCATAATTAAGATTTAATTCGTTTCAGGCCACTGTATTGTACAAACTAGTTGCAGAAAGGGGACCGTGGAACTCCTTGTCCAGATGGGCACTAGAATCATACTTAAAAGGGGACATGGGCAAGGCATTCTTCTTGTATTCAAGGATGGCTGAGTTAGGCTATGAGGTAGCGCAAAGTAATGCTGCATGGATTCTTGACAAATATGGAGAACGTAGCATGTGCATAGGAGAATCCGGCTTCTGCACGGATGCAGAAAGGCATCAGCGTGCTCATTCATTGTGGTGGCAAGCATCTGAGCAGGGTAATGAACATGCTGCTTTGCTGATTGGGGATGCATATTACTATGGTCAGGTAGGTGTCTCAGGATGAAATATGTTTGTCACTACTCTATCTTCAGGATCTATCATTAGAGTTACGCAGCTTGATCTCTCCTTGACTGTTTTTCTTTTCCTTCTTCGTTTCTTAGGGTACTGAGAGAGATTATGAACGTGCGGCAGAGGCTTACAAGCATGCCAAGTCCCAGTCTAATGCACAAGCCATGTTCAACCTTGGTTACATGCATGAGCATGGACAAGGGCTGCCTTTGGATCTTCATCTCGCGAAGCGTTACTATGATCAAGCCCTAGAGATTGATCCGGCAGCAAAGTTGCCTGTCACATTAGCCCTTACAAGCTTATGGATACGAAAAAATTATGCCGATGGTTTCCTGGTTAGTTCTTGTTGATTATCCTTACTGCCTTTTCAAATAATAGTTATAGTAATCACTAATCAGTGGTATCTTGCAATTTTTCAATCAAGAATAGTGTTCAAGTGTCTCAAAGTGTCTCAAAGTGCAGCATTTTCCTTATGGCTGCTGGACCTAGCTTATTTCTAATGCTATTAATAGTGTTATCTGCCAGTTCAAATAGTTCTTAAAATGTGGAAGACTATTCTAATTCTTACTCCTGCAGACAGTTCTTCCAACATCCACTGGGAGTTAAGTGGGTATATTCCTTGATTGATCAAGGTTATTATAGTTGGATCAGCATGATATTGCTTCTGGTTATTATCATCTCCAAACTAAAACCCAGACTCCTTTTTTTTTTTTTTTTTTTCATATTTAGTTATCAAAGGAAAAAGATCCTTGGTCCCTGTGTGGAAAATATATGGTACTAAATTGACATACATGGAAAGTAGAATGGCTTTTTGAAACCTTTTCTTTTGGGGAATACTGTATTTTACCAGTAAAGTTGGTTATTTCTTCAAAAAGATTATTTGTTGATAAAGTATTAGGAAGTTTAAGAATCAACCATGCTAAATTGTTTGGCTACCGTGTGCCCAAGTTTGCCCAAGTTTTCATGCAAAGTGCTTCAATTGACAAAACGGTAATTAGTGAGTTAGTGAAATTAAGGTTGCTCATATTCCTTTACAGTTTGAATTGTAAATCCCTATTGATATGCAATATCCTTGTAAAAAGTTCTCCCCTTGAAATGCATACTTGATTTGTAGGTCCATGATAGATGAGCATTGATGTAAATCCATTCTCTGAATCTTCATTCGTTCGGTTTCTTTTTCTCCATTTGGGTCTATATGCAGGTCCATGTGATCGATTCATTGCCTGAAGTTTATCCCAAGGTGGAACAATGGGTAGATAATGTGCTTCTAGAGGAAGGAAATGCGACAATATTGACTCTTTTTGTTTGTCTCCTCACTGTCCTATATCTTCGTGAGCGACAACGCAGGCATGCTGTTGCTGCCCCTGGTGGGATGGCTGTGCCACACCACCCGAATGAGCATGTTGCACCAGCACCCTTATAGTTTTGTTGGCAATGGTGGTCTTCAGGAACTACAAGGCTCTTTTTGCCGTTCCATCTGTTAAGAACAAATATTTTCCTCTAGAATGCTTATGTACAGGTATCTGATGCTCAAATTATTTGGAAAAAAAGCTTTTGTTTGGGACAAATTGTACCATAGACATAGAGAGATTTGCGGAAGTAGAAAATAACAGTGCTTTTGCCTCACATATAGAAAACCTTGTATCGCTTCTAAATTTCAGTTAAAGAGGTATGACTCTTTCTCCGCGTTGCCCTGCAGCAGGCTAGAATTCAGTAGATTCATTTTGCATTAGTTTTCGGTACTTCTTAATTTCCGTTGTTGGAGGTAGAACTCTCTTTTCAGTGTGTATCTCTTTTAACTTTAATAAAATGCTTTACGCAAAAACAGAAGATACATTTAAATCAAAGAGAACATGGCTTGAATTGTGAAAATATATGGTGGTTTGTGGAGGCTGAAAAGAGGTGGCATTTTAAACCAAAAAACCGCAAAAATCAACCGACAATTTACTGCAATCGCGGTAAACCGAATCGCATTTGCGGTTGCGGTTGCGGTATTTGATTTTCAAAACTTGCAGTTATCGCAAACCGCAAAGTATATCCGCACGGATGATGAGGTTGAATTCTACAAGGAAATGGAACATATGACAACTTGTAAGTAATTAGTTTATTTATGCTAATGTTATTTATGCTTCTTCTTATAATAAAATGTACTAAACTATGTTGTTTTATTTGTAGATAACATTGGTGCTCAAACAACACAACAGGGTTCTTCAAATCCACTCACCACCAACACTTGAGTTTGTAACATTGGTGCATTGCATTTTCCTTTTAGTTTGTTACTTTAATTCACTTTGAATTGGATTTTTCTTTTTGGTTGTAAGTTTAATTCATTTTGCTTTGCATTTTCCTTTTGGTTTGTAACTTTAAAGGATTTGGAATTGAAATGCTTGAGAAGTTTAACTTTAATTGGAATGCTTGGAATTGTAACTTTAATTTTCTTAGGTTGTGAATGCTTGAGAAGTTGAGAAGATTGTGAATTTATATATGCTTGATAAATTAAGGTTGTGTATTTATTTATTTAGGTTGTTAATTTATATTTCTGTAAGTGCTTGAGAACTTACGGTTTTAAACCGCAAAACGCGATCGGTTTGTGGTTTCAAAAATCACCAAACTGTAAATAGTCGGTCGATTTGCGGTTTGAGTAAAAATTCGCGGTTACCGAATTGCAACCACCCCTAACTGAAACCGTGGTATGATCTCGTCATAAGTTTTGTGGACCACCAATATCGAAGCTAAAGTGTGAGTGTGGTATATTGAAAAATAGTCGGCCCAAAAACAAATACATAATGAAGAGCACATTAAAAATTCCAGCTCAAAAACTCGGCCAGGCAATCTCACGGCCCAAGCAACAGATCAGAGTCAGGCTGGCCCATCAGAGCTGGGCAAATTTCACGGGGCTGGACATACATGCTCAAGAAAAATAAGGGATATTTCTTTTCTTTACTAAAAGCTCATTAGAGTTGTATCATATACAAAAAGCACCTAGACAGAAAATATACAAAAGTTCCCAGAAACGAGTATGGTAGCAGGGAAACATTTAACTCGCCAGACAGTTTGCAGAATGGATTTCCAACCATGTGAGCGGCGTATTTAATTCAGGCCACCAGCTTGGTGCCAAAAATCCGGTAGTGCTTACTTCCCGATTTGTCACTTTGAGATTTTAGACAAATTTGTACCCATGGGGGATTTCTGCGAGTGTCATTTTGCTCCCCATCATTATCTGCAATCACTCCTAACAATGCATTAAGTTTGCTCTCCAATGCCTTAACAGAGGACTGGCCATCAAAAAACTTCACCTATCATAAAATGAAAATGACAATCAGGAGGGACAAAAAATCATGGAAAAAAGAGGGACTATACAAATAGTCTGTCCAAATATAAGTTAAATGATGATTACAAGTTCTTACCCCATCTTCTGCATACAAGAAAGCATGAATTCTAGCAGTTGAGTCCTCCAGAGTAAGCCTAATTCGGTCAATCCCAGCAGGAAAGCAGAAGTCTTTAGCCTGCCATGGGAAAGCTGCTATGACTCGAACTACACACTTGAAACTCGCTGTAACCTACAAGGTTTGGAATACATACATTGAATACACAGCAGTTATGATGTTTCGATAAAAAATGCCACGGGCATTAATATGAGGCACATTTCGAAAATAATAATAATAAGGGTTACAGGCAACATGAAATAGGTAAGATACCTCTGAACTTGTGAGGACATCCATTAAGGTAAGAAATATCGCATGGTCATCATCATCATCACCATCAACCTCTGAGGGAGGAAATAAACATTCATAAAAAGGTCATCGCAATAAGAGAAATTCAAAACATAGAGTATATGTTTTCCAAGAGTTGAAACAGAGAAATAACAAATCCAAAAATTCATCATTAAAAAACTAACAGTGGTACCTGTCACTTGAGAAGGCCAAGGTAAGCTCCAAAATGGCATCCGCCTTAAACTTTGCGGACTTCGTGATAATCTTTCATCATATAACCTAATCCATATAAATTGCCTCAGACTTTTAGTAAGTTGCAACATAATGATGCTATGCATGATAATAAAATCTCAGCTAAAAGTAATGACCTTTGCCGCTCAATTTTGAGACGGTCCTCATTTGGTGTATATCGAAGCTTTGTGAACGCTGTCAACACACAACGCCATAACCCTGCATGCACTTCACATAGCAAATTCAAAAGCTTTACCCACTCCCCAGTTTTTAGCAAGCGAAGGTTGTCATTTTCAATGTCTTGAGATACCACTCTTAAGACAGTTCCGACAGAAGGAAAGCTACATAAGGTATCTCTTGACAAAGGCAGTGATTCCAGATGTAGGGGAAGTGGGTGATGCATTTCATCTTCAAGCCTGTGGTTCAGAGTTACCAACATTTGATATTTTACTTAACAAAATAAAAACTCCAGTAACCATATAGTAAAACGAAACTAGCTTTCACCACGAACCTATATATCCAATTAACCGAACACATGCATGCAGGCACAGTCCATTAAGATGATGCTCTAATGTCATACACCATTACACAAGTTGCAATTGAGTAAGTTCACATCAATAGAGAATTGCATTAAAAGAACACCAGCAAAAAAGGATTACAGAATATCAGAATTCTGCAAGGAAAGTATGCTGAAAAGATCAATCACTTTTATAACTTCAACACTAATTCAATGAAAGGCAGATAACCTCCTTTAAAATAAATAAAAACACGAAAGAAGTCCAACAAGACAGGGACAAAAACAAAGTACCCCATAATTTTATTATTAATCAAGATGCTCTATAAGAAAAAACAAACATTGACGACTATCGACTCACTTTTGAAGAATATTGGATGGTGGAGCATCAGTTCCATCCCAAACAAAGGCCATCCATTCATTTCCAGCACCCTCATGGATATGAATTATCTTAAAAGTAGTAAACAAGGAAAAAAAATTATATTGTACTCAGTACATTGAATAATTAAACAATAAAAAGAATAAGTAACTTAACCGGGTCAGATGTTTAAACACATTTGAGTAAATTAAGAATAATTCAAATATCCCTCTGTATTCCCTATTTTCTCCTTTAAAAAGAAAAATAATCAGCTGCACTAACACATATTTAACAAAAACGGTTGACTTACTTTACAAACCAAATTAAAGCTTTCACCTCCATTAATTTCTCTGATCAAAGAGAAATAATTTGCACCTACAAAGCGCATACATTTCTATTAAAATTAGATAACCAAATAAACAAATAAGGAGGGTTGTGAGATAACTCTCTACTGACCAAGAAATAAAAAAGTTCCTGTCTTTCTTCATATTTACAATTAGATCACAAAGTTGCTCCATACAAAACTACAGCACTTTCCAGAGAGAGATTCCAAATTAGATTATTCCCCCCACCATCACTAACCACAACATCGCATTATTTTTTGAGAACAAGTCAAATTCATATATTTTCATAATTGAATTATGTTATGTCTTTATTTGAAACAAAATACTTTAAGAATACCTTCATCAAACTGAAAATTCTGCAACCATACAAAACTACAGCACTTTCCAGAGAGAGATTCCAAATTAGATTATTCCCCCCACCATCACTAACCACAACATTGTATTATTTTTTGAGAACAAGTTAAATTCATATATTTTCATAATTGAATTATGTTATGTCTTTATTTGAAACAAAATACTTTAAGAATACCTTCATCAAACTGAAAATTCTGCAACCATCTTCTCAAGTCTATCACAAAATTCTTGTCTAGGTCTTTCTCGCGAAATGTTTCATAAGTTTGGTAAGGAACTAAATTTCTACCATCCCTTCCTTCATATATTGCAAAGCTAGAGTACTTCTTGTAAAAAACAGCATTTATCTTATCATCATGAATTTTCATCTGCACAAACCCAAATCAAATCCAATTATGCTTCATCATGTAATGTTTGTCAAGGTCACAGAACTTTGCATGCTTTTAACAAAAACAAAATGGAGTACAAAGGATAATACATAACATCACTTTTGTTTCATAAGAGATAATACAACACCATTGTGATAATGGAGAAAACATGATTTAATAGGGAAAAAGGAGGTGGAAAGGAAAGCAGCTGCAATTGGTCTATTCAACCACAAAATATTTGGAACGTATTTGTACAAATATGTCGCACTAGTTTGAGGAACATTCTGAATCATTCTTCATTAACTATCTCATCATGCAAGCATCAGCAAAATGTGAAAAAATAGGAACTTAAAGACAAACGAAACTTTAGTTTATCATATTTTCTTCTTTCGATTGATACATAAAAAAGGAAAAATCTATACAGATTAAACTATTGGCTTGAGCAATCAGCAATTATCTGTAATTTTAAGACACCCAAAAATGCAAGAAAATTTAATGGATGATCAGTTTGGTATACCGAAACGCGTTGGAACTGAATTATGTCTCCAACCGACAAAATACGGGGAAGTTGATGCCTAGTTTGTGTAAAAACGTTAACTGGTAACCCAGGATCCTGATGCGTCTCGTCAATTATACGGACCGAACAAAACCAATCTGCAAAAGATTCACACAAACGCGTACATAACAGACAGAGAGAACTACAATTTCTATCTAAAAACAGAAGAAAAGAAATTAACACAAAGAAACAGAAATGTTAAAACTGATGAAGAGAAGTGAAAGAAAGTAAGAAGTGGCTCAGCAACAACACCTTTACGTCAAGAGTCTCATCAATCTACT